CCTGCTCTGCTGCTGCCTGTGAATGCAGGGGCTGGCACTGCCCTGCCTGTCAATGCTGGGGTGCAGGGGCTGGCACTGCCCTGCTTGTGAATGCTGGGGTGCTGGGGCTGGCACTGCCCTGCCTGTGAATGCTGGGGTGCAGGGGCTGGCACTGCCCTGTCCGTGAATGCTGGGGTGCAGGGGCTGGCACTGCCCTGCCTGTGAATGCTGGGGTGCAAGGACTGGCACTGCCCTGTCCGTGAATGCTGGGGTGCAAGGGCTGGCACTGCCCTGCCTGTGAATGCTGGGGTGCAAGGGCTGGCACTGCCCTGCCTGTGAATGCTGGGGTGCATGGGCTGGCACTGCCCTGCCTGTGAATGCTGGGTGCAGGGGCTGGCACTGCCCTGTCCGTGAATGCTGGGGTGCAAGGACTGGCACTGCCCTGCCTGTGAATGCTGGGTGCAGGGGCTGGCACTGCCCTGCCTGTGAATGCTGGGTGCTGGGGCTGGTGCTGCCCTGCCTGTGAATGCTGGGTGCAGGGGCTGGCACTGCCCTGTCCGTGAATGCTGGGTGCTGGGGCTGGCACTGCCCTCCCTGCCTGTGAATGCTGGGTGCTGGGGCTGGCAGTACCCGGTGTGTGGCAGGCAGGCTCTGCCAGTCCCCAGGACATTTCAGCCTCCTGGGATGGATGATTCACTGAGGTCTGATGGTCCCTGCAGGGGCACCCTGAGGGTGAGACACTGTGCCAGCCAGCACTGCAGAGGGCTGTGTATGGGAGGCAGGGTCAGGGAATAACTGGTACCACACTTACCTGGTGGACAGGCATGGTGCACGAGGGCAGGAATGCTGTGTGAGAGAGGAACACTCTTTGAAGAGCCCAGTAAAACTAAGGAGGGATACAGGGTAGAGAAGAGCACTCTTTGAAGAGCCCAGTAAAACTAAGGAGGGATACAGGGTAGTTTACATGCAAATTGACAAAACATTTCACCCAATGGAAAATAAATGAAGATACTATTCTGGGATGGGGTGAGGAACAAATTTTAATACAACACAAAGTGTCTTAGCTAGGCTATTCTAGAAAACTATTTAAAAATAAGAAGTTATAGGAGTCAGTCATCAAGTTGTTCACACTGTTAACCTATGTAACCATATGATGTTATTACTGTTAACCTCATCTTCCCTCCCCCTCTTCCTTTCTAATGTTTCCTATACTCCTTGCTTCTTGTCTTTACATTAAAAGCACACTCTGGGAAGGGACTGTACTTGCTTTCAAGGCAACACCATAGCAAGGGCCAAGCTTGACCGTAGCCTCTGGGGACTCCCACACCAAGGTATACTTACACCTGAGCTTGCATTATGGCACAGATTCAGATTTTTTCTTTGCTCTACCATCCTCTTTCAGACTATGATACACAAGCAAAAACTATTTAACAGTGCTCCTGCTGCAGACTGCTAACACTGCTAACTAGCCTATTCTTTCTCGTCATCCTTAAGACAATGTTGCACATTCTCTGAGCTGTGTTGAACATCAGCATCCATTTCAAGGAGCAGACACTTCTGACACTGAGCAGGCTGGCTAACAGCTTAAGTGATAACTTTGTTGGCACCTACACCACAGCTCAGATCTAAGAGATGTTCTGTGGGCAGCTGCCTGTTGATTTGCTTTCCTAGACATGCGATTGAACCACACTGTACATCCTGTGCTTATGAAATCCCAGCAGGGCTGTATCACAGTACCTACCACTAGAATGTGTGATTTACACCACCTACAAACTGCAACATCTCAAGATAAACCTGCTCCTTATAATGAATATCCAGTTAACTGCAGTTCTCACTACCTACAATGCTTTTTAAGGTCACTGAGTTTTAAAATAGCTGGGATTTTACTGGACACACTGTGAGATGTTTTTTTTTTTGTAAGACAGGCTGATCTGAGATGGAGACTCTTGTCCCATTGCCCCTCTCTCATGTGTTTGTGCTAAGCACATAAGAAACTTGGGATTATTTCTACACGAAAGTGTGCAGGTCTTTTGTTTTCTCATCTTTCTCTAAACCAGTGAGGTGGGAAGCAGTTGCCAAATGACAGCCATATTAATTACCTAGTGCTGTGCCCAAAGGAATGAGCTTAGGGGAAGCCCAGATCCAAGGCTGAGCTGGAGAAAGTTTGGTCTGGACTGGTCAAACAAGCTGTTGAAATCTTTGGCATGGTTATCACAGCTTGCATCTCATGCTCCCTGCTCATGCCTGCCTTCCTCCTCCAAAGCTGACCTGATTGAGCACTGCTGGCCAGCAGCTCCTGTCTGCAGTACCATTGGTGGGACACTCCAGGCCAAAAGACCTCCTCAGTACCACTGGTGGGACACTCCAGGCCAAAAGACCTCCTCCTCACACACACAGAGGGCCTAACAATTCCATGGGCTGGTGCTAGGCTCCTTTCTTTCCTCCTCTTTCCACACAAGGCAAGACTGAGAGGGCAGGGGAACCCTATGGATTCCCAAGATGAAGCTGCTGAGATCCACTGAGCACTGCCAAGTGGCTCTGTCCACATACACACATGCTGGTGAATCCAAGTTCCAGGTGGTCCTGTCCCCCAGCTGACAGGTGAGAGTAAACTTGATTTCCTTCATGATCAGCCTTCCATTTTCAGAGGTCCCCAATGATTCTGAGCACCCAGCTGGAGTCACCTGGCAGGGCATCTGCTTGGAACATGGGTGAGGCCCAACACCTGTGGAAATCACACCCTTCAAAGCTGCCTCCAGCTGTGATTCTCCAAATTGTCTCTGATTCAGAGCCCTTTTGACAGCCTCAGCTGAGCTTAAATAAAAAAAGTCAAATTACTGATTTGCATAGCAAACACAAAAATTTAAATGGTGCAAACCTGGTATTTAAATTTTTCTACCTCAACTCTGGAAATGCTTATATTCACTACAGGCCAGAAGGTGAGGTCTAGTTCCCTGTGATAGTGGATGCTTTCAGTTTCCAATAAAGTCAGTAGAAATTGTTCACACTCTACGTGAAATACAAACTTTTAGCAGCAAGAAGAAAATTCAATGCATAAACTATATTAAAAAAAACCTTTAGGCTTACTATCTTTTCTTCCATCAGCTACTCATATGAGGTTCAAGCTATTGTTTTTGATTTGAATAGTATTCCTGGCCTTTTGAACTGCAGATAATTTATAATTTAAGAAAACAAAATCAATGGTTATTTGTTTTGTAATGTACTGCTGTCAGTGATGGAAAGGACTACAATGGTTTCTATGATTATTAATTCTTCAAAATAATATACCTGCACCAGTATCCAATTAATCTGGTTATTAATCAAAGTGCTTTAATTATAAATTATTAAAGGAGGCCAGACACTGCAGATTATTGTGTGCTATATTTTTAGATTTTCCAGTTTGATTCAAAACACACTAAAAGAGGGGCCCCATAAAATAACCATCTAGAGACAGTCCATGGCAAACATCCAGAAACTATTCTTAATGGAATGGAGTTAGCATGAGCTGAGATCATTCTTTAGCCTTGGGAGAAAAAAAAAAGAGAGAGATGTTTTTAGGAAGAGATTTCCAAAGGGATTATGAGTTGCTCTTTGCAAACAATACAGAGGATTTCCAGTATGCATTGTGCTTTTGCCGAGAACTGTGCGTACAAGGGAGCCAATCAAAGTCCTCCTGTGTCTAATGAGGAGGGGGAAATCATGATGGGGAAAGTCCCTTAATGACAGGAGACAATAGTTGTTTGTACAGTGACACGTACAGAAAACTGTCACCAAGGAATCTCTCCAAACGTGATTTTACTTATCTGAGACATTATTCACTGAATTAGCATAAGCAGTGAAGTGTGTATGTGGGCGAGAAATCTGAAATCTTATTCATGGGATTACTGTTATTTTTTCCCCATAATTTCGAAGACAGCAGAGGTACAGAGCTAACATAATAAAAAAGATGTGGGCTTTGGAATCTCAGCAATCTTTAAATAAATGTAGCATTTGTCCCGAAGTTAGCCTGACGTGCTATACTGAACACAGAGGCAGCTGAAACAGAAGTCTTGATGTAAAAGGATTAGTTTTCAAATTTGGTCTCCTAATGGACAAACAGACCCGCACCCTGAAGGGGTAATGTTGTTAAATGAATCCAAAATTGGGGTCTTCTTTTTGTTCCGTGCCAAAACGCCGGAGCGCACGGCGGCAGCTCGGTGTTGAGACACCGCCTGTGCCCGTGCCCATACGCGGCCGCCTGCGGCCACAGGGCCCGCTCGGCTGCCTGGGACCCTGCCAGACTCCCCGGCTTCTGTTTGCTAAACAAACGCATCTTACGCACTTCAGCTGCACATGAAAACAAAATTATGAAACAGGGCTTTTAATGTAAAACCCATTTCTAAAAAAAAAAAATTCTGTTAACAATTCCACGTAAGGAACCCAAGAGGTCTTCCTACGCGCTGTCCCACCACATCCCAGCCTCCTGCTCTTTTTATTCACGTTTGACACAGAGTCCCCTCCGCCCTGTCCTGGTTCCCAGCCCCAATGGCGCCTCAGCCCCGATGGCCCGTCAGCCCCAATGGAGCCGCCGCGGTGTCTCGGGGCCGCGCACGTGCCCGGCCCGCGGGCAGCACGAGGCGGGCGGCCCCACGCGCGCTCCCCGCGGGGGTGCGGAGTGGAGGCGGTGCCGGCCGCGGGCGATCCCCGCGCGCCAGCGGCGGCCCCGCCCCGCCCCTCCCTCCGCGCCCCGATTGGCCCCTCCCCCTCCGCCCCTCCTAGCCCCGGCGGGGGCGGGACGCGCGAGCGGGCAGAGGGAATCCCTCGGCTTCCCCTGAGCGCGCTCCGCTCTCGCGAGACTTGCGACGCTCTCCGCATGCCGGCAGGCTCCGGGCTCTCGCGAGAGCGGCGCGGTTCCCACGCCCGGGCTGTTGTGTCTGAGGGGAGAAGCCCGGGCGCTGAGTGGGCGGGGCGCACCGCCCCCCCCCCACCCCGCGCGTGTCTCGCGGGCCCGCGCACGCGCGCTCCGGGCCGCGGGGAGGGGGGCGCTCTCGCGAGAGTAGGAGTTTTGGCGAGAGTTTGTGGAAGATGGCGCCTGTTGTGACAGGGTGAGTGCGGGGCGTTCGCGGCGCCCGCCGGAGCCGCCGCCGCCCGGGGCTGCCTGGGCGAGGCCGCGCCGCGCCCGCCCGCTCGCTCCTCGGCCGCCGCTCGAGGGCACGGGGGACTGCCCTCCGGACGGCCCGCGGGCGGGCCCTGCGGCGCAAACCTCGTGGGGCTGGGGTCCCGCCGGGTGGGCGCACGGAGGAGGCGCCCCGGGTGCCGGCCCGGCAGCGGCCGCGTTCTCCGGCCGCCCCGCGGCGCGGGAGCCCCGGCGCGTCCGGGCGCTCACTTTGCTTTCCCTCTCTCCGGCACGGACACGCCGGTCGGGACTCCGTGCAGGTTCAGTGCTCATCCCGGCTGCTTCGGAGCGGGTCCCGCTCGGAGGGCTCCCAGGGGAGCGGCGGAGCCCAGCTGGGAGGGGACCTGGGGCTGCCACGGGCTGCTCTCCCTTCTCGGTCGCCCCGGCTCGTCCCGCTGTAGGCGGGGGTCCTCCAGACTCCCCCGGCTGCGGACGGGGAGCGCTCGGACAAAGGCTTTTGCTGCCGTGGTTGGAAGTTGAACGCGGGCCCCCAGCGCCCCTCGCACGGCGGGCCCGGCCCGGCGCTGTCACTGGCGGCGGGGCGCTCCCGGGCGCGGGCGCCTCTCCGCCCCTGCGAGCAGGACACCGCGCCGGCAGCCTGCGCCGCCGGGCTTCCCTTTCTCTGCGCACCATTCCCAGCGCTTTGTTGAGTTTTAGCTGCCTTCCTTCAAATGCTGCGGTGCAGGGAAGGGTAGCAGCCACGCTGGATCATAATGAATGGTAGTCTCCGTCCCTTTCAACCACACTGGGTAATACTTAATCATGGCTAGCCAGCTGCAGCATGTGTCACTGTAATAAGTGACACCCTCTTAGCCACCTACGGCTGATGAATAATAGCAGACCCACTGCTGGTGTACAGTACGCAATCACACCTGCAGTGTCACATTGCACGTTGCCATCCTTGCCACATCTTGATTGCTGCTGCTTATTTCGAGTGCCGGATCCTTAATTTTGGACTACGTGGAGCAAGTGTGACGTCCCTCTATGTGTTGAGGGAAAAGACAGTCAGGAGAAGAACAGGCTGTTTCTGTACTCCACCTGTTTGTTCCAAATGAAATTTTGTCTTGTTAAAGTACTTCTGGGTCTTTCTAAAACATGGACCTTATTTTATATTTCACAGTGTGTCTGTGACCTTCTGCCTTCCCTGTGGGATTACATTGTCTACAGCATTGGCTCTATGGTTAGAGAGCAACAGCCTGCTTGGGGGTGGGGTGGGGTTGGTGGTTGATGCTTTTGTTCTCGTGGAGAAGGTAGCATTGGGGTATTTTGTTGTTTTGATTAGCTGCAATAGTGTTTCCAACTCCTCACTCTTGTTTGTGAAAAACTAAATTGAAGCTTTTGCTTGATTTCAGTCCTGATGAAGGTATCTTGTGGCTGATATACAATTTCCCAATTAACTGTTCTTTAGGGAAGCTAATCTTGTTTGTTATGATTCCTGGAGTGTACTAGTTTAGAGGTTGGGCTTGAAAGAAGGGAAGAAATGCTTTTAAAGTTTGTTACAAAGTTAGCCTGTGCTCCAGTTAGCAATTCAGTTTTTCCACATTTCTATTAGTTTACTCATCTGAATATTTGGGTTCCATTTCCTTTTGTTTATTGATTATTACAGGATTGTCAGAAGTGTTGTCATGTTTGTGATATTAGTTTTATGCTTTTCAGATGTCTGTTAAAATGTTGACAAAACAACTGTGGATTATTTTTAAAACAGTGATCAAATAATCCCAGCGGTAGAAAAAATACCATTTTAATTAGAGTGAAATGGTTGTTTGTAGTTTAGAATTTTATGCTACATTTATTGTTTAAACCTATAAGTCAAATAATTTGCTGGAAAAAAGATTTTGTTTTCTAATTGTTAAATACTTCCAGTGTAGGTAAAATGAAATATGCTAACTTTTGTTTATGTTGTAGTTATATTGCATCAAGGAGCCTAATTTCTATTTTATTTTTTTTTAATTAAATGACCTGTTTTTGGAGTATGGCTCTGATGCTGAGTTGTCGTTGTGTATTAGGATCAAAAATTGATGATTCTCCAGTAGCTGATTGATTTTTTTTTTTCCCAGATGGTTAGTATAAGGAGTTTTCTTTTGGGGCTATTCTGTAAAAACTTACTTGGACAGGGGGGAAAAAAGCATTTGAAATTAAAAAGCAATAGCTGAAGAATGTAATATGCAAATGCTGCATTGTGTTTGAATGGGCATCACATGGGCACTCAGACTTTGAGGTAAAGCTTAAGGCTCTTTTGCAAGTCAGTGTTACCTGAATGAGAAGGGTGTTGGGTTTTTTTTTCCTGTGAAAAGTGTATGCCTGAGCTTAAGTTTTGGTACATAAGTTTATGCAGTGTTGGAATGGAATAGCAGGAATTTGCTGCAGCAGTTTTGGGGGGCAGGCAGAGTTTGTTGTGCTTTGTTGGTGGCAGCATGTGGCACCCTCGTGCTGCTGCCTCACAAGGAGTGTTTGCATTGAACTTGTGCATGTGTGCAGTGT